AGTGGATGTTAAAACTTACATTCTCAGCCCTTAATCCTGTAACATTTTTCGTATTCTTAGCTCCTTCTGCGCAAAATTTTTAAATTGGAAAACTAACAAGTGATGCATCTTTCTTTGTAGTGACTGAATAAATTTTTGCTCTACGAGACAACTGTCAAAGAATTGAATTTACAAGCACGCCCTTCCAAAAAAAACATTCAGTATTCAGTTGTTTCTTAGCTAGTGAATCTACTGATATTTTCTCATCACAAGTAAGAAACAGAGATAAAAATCTGTGATGCAGAGGACTCAGGAGTCAAGAAAAGCAATGCAGTTCAGTCAGGGGTGGGGGGGGGGAGTATCAATAATGTGTGAAAATACTAAATATTTTCTAACCAATCTAGGCTGAGGCTTTAAAATGGATAATTAAAATTCTTAAAAATGATAAATGCTCTGGAGAATGGTAGTGTTTATAAAGAAATACAGAGGAACTTTTTTCTTTTCTATGAATGGTGGGGGGGCGGTGAGGGCATAAAGGTGATCACAAAAATGGTAACTTAAGACTGGCCCTGGAGAGTTAGTTCAACCATGAGGAATGAAGTTGCTGTTCTCAAGGTAGCGAAAGTTTAGTATTAGCTTTTGCTGCATCATAAGTTTCTAAACAAAATACAAAACTCACATCTTACACATTCTAGTGAGAAACTTTCAAAAGCATAACATTTTAATTACTGCAGCCAGTATTTTGAGATCACAAACATTTGCAATGTGATTTCAGAAATATTCTGCATCTACAGCACTTCACACACATTATCAGGTACTTTATGCTTTCCTTTTATAAACAGTACACTGAAATGCAACCCCTTTTATTAACTTTAATTTCTCAACAAATCTGAAGAATACAAACATGCAGCTCTCATAGGCAATCCAACAGCTCCTTAGCACCTGCTCTTCCCCAGGCACTGTGTAGTCATCAGAGATCATTGAATTGAATATGGCACCTCTGGCCTACACCCCAGTTCTTGTATGCATAGATAAATACAAATAAATCTTTTTTTAAAGATTTATTTATGCATACAAGAGCTGGGGTACAGGCCAGAGGTGCAGGGGGAGGTGAGAAGATTCACCAGAGACAGAGTGGGGAACAGAACAGGCAGATTGACCGAAGTACACAGCTGAGGGGAGCAGTGGGCGAGTCAGGAGAGGTCTGCTGCGCCATGTGGGTTGCTCCCTGGCCAGCCGGGGATCGAGAACTTGTGCTGCAGAGGCTGCGGACTGCCCCACAGTGCAGTGCTTAACCCCTTCCACCACCAGGGAGGCCCAAAAGTAAATCTTTAAAAAAAAATCACAATGAGATACCACCATCTTACACTTGTAAACATGGCCTATGCCAAAAAGACCAGAAAAAAGTGTTGGTAAGGGTGTAGAGAAAAAGGAACTCTCATACACGGTTAGTGGGTTGATGCAGCACCTATGGAAAACAATATAGCAGTATTTCAAAAAAATTTAAAATAGATCTATCATAGGATCCAGCAATTCCAATCTGAGGTGTGTGCCCAAAGAATGCAAAAACATCAATTCAAAGGGATGTATGCAATTCTATCTTCATTACAACACTATTTATAATAAACAAGTTATGAAAATAACCTAAGTAGTCAATGACAGATGAATTGATTAAGATGTAGTATATATACACATTGGAATATGACTCAGCTATAAAAAAGGATGAACTCTTGCCCTCTGAAACAACATGGGTGAAACAGGAGGATTAAGCTAAATGAAATAAGCCAGAAAGAAAAAGATAAATACAGGGTATATGGAATACAGAGAAATAAAATGAAGGGTCAAAAATAAACCAAAAACAAACAAACCCTAGAAATCCGACTATAAAATTGAGGCTACCAAAGAGGAAGGGGAAGGTGGAGAGCAAAGTGGGGAGAAGGCCCAATAGACTATAGTGGAGGACAATGGGTGCCTCGGTGTGATTGTGGCTGTGGTGTGGAAACATACAATTGAAGAAATGTGAACCTAAACATCTGAATAATACACAGTGTTGTAAACCAATGTTACCTCAATAAAAATAAAAACAAAAACAAAAACCATACCAAAAAAATTAAATATTTTTTTACTACATATAAAACTCTTGATCCCCACATTTATTCAAAGGCCTACATCTAACCACTGCAGTCTCATTTTGGATCACTCTCTCCAGCTCATTTCACTTCAGGTATACTGGTCTTTTTAATTCCACAAAAAATGCCAAGATTACCTCTGTGAGGCTTTTACATTAGTCACTTTCCTTGCCTAGAATGCACTTTATATTTGTTTAGCTGTCTACTTGATATCATATATAATTTTGTTATGGTCTATATCTTTGGTAACTGCCTACCTCCCGCTGCAATATAAGCTTTATAAAAGAAGAAATTTCATCTGTCTTTGTAATACAATGTCCCTACTATCAAAATAAAACACGGGTGAACAAATAAACTATTTTAAAAAATAAGCCATTAACTGAAAGAACTAGCTAAAGCTTTTAAAGTTGTTATGTGAAGCAAAAAAATATATCTTTCTCTCATTCTTTTCCTTAACAGTTTATCAATTTATGGCTTCTCAGCCCCAAATTTACCCTTTTCTTCCTGCTCTATAACTAAACGTTAATATTCTTAACCTTTCAGTATTTCCTCAGAGTTTGAATATCTAAATACCCTGATAATTTATAACTCCTTACAAAGGCACAGTTATCATCAAAGAATTTTAAGAATTCTAATTAGAAGGCTTGAGATGGAAGCATGGGGTTCTGACAATTACTAGTGATCATATCATTGCACTTAGCTTTTTAGGCTTCACTTTCCTCATCTGTATAATGTGTAATCCCTGTCTATCTTAGACAGGGTCCTTCACCATAGTCTACTGGGCTCTGGCCTACCCAGGAGGAAGCCAAGTACTGCCTGAGGCAGGAAGTCACTGTTCCTCTTCCTCTTTCCAAAGACACAGGCTAAAACTCTACACAGCCCACCAGTAATCATGACAAGTTCTTTATAAAGTCAGCCTGAGTCTACTTAAGAGGCCTGTGGTGAGGTTCAAATGAGATTATGCATAAATAGTAAACTACAGACAAGGACAAGTTATTATTATTCAGTATCAATTCAACAAAATTTTACTGAACACTAACCCTGTATGCCAGATAATACATTGGCAAAAAAAAAATTTAAGACAGCACCCTTCTCTCAAAAGAGCTTACACTTAAGTTGAGGGGAATAAAACAGACAAGCAAAATAATTTTGCCAGAGATTGGCAGTGTGCAGCATTCTGTGGGAGCATAGAGGAGCTATACTAAGCAGAGTTTGGAGGGTTAGGGGAGACTTCCTGGAGAAAGTAGGGCCAAAGTGGAGTCTGAAAGGAACAGGAGAGTGAGGAAAAAAGGTCTCATCAAATGAGTAATTTCCAATTTTTACTGGTCCCAAATCATGTTCAAGAGGCAGATTAGTTATATCATCTGAAAAATTATAGTATATCAAAGGTTAAGAACAAGCTATTCAGGTATTACCTGGGGTAAAATTCTTCTATCACCGTAGACTTACCCCAGCACAATTTATTTTATTCTCTACCACTAAGTAAAACACCAGTTTTTAAACCTTTAGGGCACCTTTCCTCACCCTACAAGAATATGTCCATTATTAAGACTGAAAACGTACAATCACACACTCCAAGGTCAAAACCTTCCTCCTCAAAAAAGATGTTAAGAGACCTCAACAATAGGCATAGATTTCTCCTTTACCATAACTCCAAAAAAAAAGGTCTCCCATTCCTTCCAGTTTCCTTCTAAGACAAGTTCCTATGAAATACACCCATCCATTCTCCTGCCAGATAAGGTCAAGGACTCTCCGGGCAACCTTCTCAACCAGAGTTGGCCCTGCCCACTCAAGAGGAAGCCAAGTACTGCCTGAAGTAGGAAGTCACTGTCCCTCTTCCTCTTCCCAAAAACATAGGCCAAAACTCCACATAACCCACCAGTAATCATGACCCGTTCTTTACAAAGTCAATCTGAGTCCACGAAATCAAAACATAGGTATCCCCTACAGCCCACAATTCCATTCCTAGGTATATAACCAACAGACACTTGTTTGCCAAAAAGCATTCTAGGATGTTCAGAGCTATAGTATTAGCTGTAACCAAAAGAAAAAAAACAAAATACAAATGCCCATCGACAAAAGAACAGGTAAATTGTAATAAAGCTTATCAGAATTGGGATGAAAATAATCATATGGCATATAGTATGTTCTCAAATATTGGCATAGTTGAATTATACATGTTTAGTAACAGAGAGCAGTAAAATTATTTATACCAGAAAATATTACAATTTTTAACTCAAAAGGCTGGTCTATTCTTACATTATAACTAGTAAAGTTTAAAATGAGTCACATCACATAATTCTCTTCTGCAGTTAGCACTCAAAAAGTATAAAAAGAAACTTGATTAAAGACAACAACACTGCAAATGCATATATTTTTAAGATGGTATTACTAGTGTCACGTTTTCAACAAAGCACTTATCATGTTATTTACTCAATACCGCTACCTTCAATTTCACCCAGCAGGGGACTGTAACGCTAGCATATCACTGCTGCTAGTACTTAAATATAAAGACTTTCTTCTACACTGCCCTTTTCTGACAGAAAATTCCAAGTTACAACAGAAATCTAGGGCTTATATCCCCTGTAGGCCACACTTATTGTCAAGGGTCACATTTGAAATCTATCTTCAAGGAAAAAACTACACAACTTTGAAATAACCACAAACAACAGTCACAAGATTAATCAGCTCACCATTAATATCTCTAGGAGGAAGAAAAATTGAGACAGGTAACAATAGATAGTAACAAATAAAAGCCAAGGAATTCTAGCATTACTGAAACACTATCATAAGCAATCTGGATAGGATCATGAAAATTAACTTATCAAATACAGAATGAAAGTAAACAACTGAAAAAAATGGGAATGTGCACACATAAAGTGAAATACTTACTGCTAAAGCCTTGGAGAGTTTGGCTCTAAATTCATTCAGGACAATTGCCACAATGTCATTAAGGGGTACATAGGCAAAGCCATCTTCCAGGTAGACTTTCCTTCCTCGGTATAACTCCAAAGCATCAGCAAATGGGATCTGAATTCAGAGAGAAACATGAAAAATCAGTGAGTTCCTATCATTAAAAAGTCCTCCTCAATGTGAAGAAAAAGGAACTCTCCTGCACTGCTGGTGGGAATGCAAACTGGTCCAACCACTATGGAGAGCTGTGTGGAGATTCCTCAATCTGCTAAAGAGGGAGTTTCCATATGATCCAGCAATTCCACTCCTAGGTATTTACCCAAAGGACAAAGGAACACTAATTCAAAAGGGCACCAGCACCCCTATATTTATAGCAGCACTATTTACAATAGCTAAGCTATGGAAACAACACAAACGCCCAAAAATAGATGACTGGATCAAGAAGATGTGGTACATATACACAATGGAATATTACTCAGCAATCAAAAAAGATAAACTCATACAATTTGCCGCAACTTGGATGGAGCTGGAAGGGATATGCTCAGCGAAATAAGCCAGAAACTAAGAGAAAAATACCAGATGGTCTCACTCATAGCAGGAATTTAGAAAACCCAAATAAGGGACCAGGGAAAAGACTAATTACAATAAAGTAAAAATCAAAAGCAACAAGCAACTATAAACCAGAGACACACTACGTGGCGGGGTGGAGGGGGAGGGCATAGGATCAAAACAAGGGGGTGGGAATTGTATGGATCTATAACCAAGATGAAAATGCATACATTATGCAAAAATGAAAAATAATATAAAAAAGTATAAAATAAAACAAAATAAATGTCCTCCTCAGTCCTCTAGAGTACTGATCTAAACAAAATTCTTCCTGTGAAAAATTCATTAGTCCCAGCATTAAATAAAAATCTATTAATTTATACTCCTTAAAACTAAATAATTAGCATTAGAAAAGATTGGCAGTCAAAATGTGCTTGTTGCAGAGTAGCTGTTTCAAAACTAATAAGCCAAGTTAGGATGTTTTCTTTTTATTCTTAATTCATGAATATACAAACTACAATCCCTAGGATTTCAAACTTACCTCAAGCCCTGCAAGCACACTGCATTCTCCTCAAGACATAATCCACATTTTATTCTGCATCAAGTATACTTCTAGTTAGTACACAATATGTTCAGTGTAAAAATCACCAGTAAGAAAAGTAATTCCAAATTTCTTCATCTATGTTTCCATTCTTTCTCTAGAGAAAGATATTGGAAAAGCTAATCTCAACACTAAAAATGAAAATAAACATCCAGTTTCACTATTAAAATAAGAATTTGCCAGTAAATATTCTTTCAAAAATCCTAACACCACTTCTATTTTTTTTAAACATCTTTTTTTTTTTTTTTTTAAGATTGATTTATTTATTTATTCTTACAAACACTGTCAGAAGCACGGGAGGGTGAGAGAATTCACCAGAGCCAGAGCGGGGAGCAGAGCAGGCAGAAGGGCTGAAGAACACTGCTGAGGGGAGCAGCAGGCGGCAGGAGAGGTCTGCGGCACCATGTGGGACCTGCCTCCGGTGGCCGGGGAGCAGCCGGGGATCAAACCGGCACCGCGGAGGCTACGGGCAGCTTCGCAACCCAGCGCTCAACCGCTGTGCCACCGGGGAGGCCCTACTTCTATTTTTTAAGATTAGCAGAATATACTAGCAAATTGTGAAAATCCTCCTTACTCTTCAATAGTTTTTCTCTTTTTTAAAAATGTGATTTTAAAAATTGGTGAAAAAATAATCCCCAAATTGCCTCGTTGCTCATACTCCTGGGAAGGGTGAAATCTATATCTCATAACTTCTATATATTTTTCTATATATCCAGTGACATTACATAAAAATCAGGTTGTGTTTAACAGACAGCACTGTGATTAATTTACAGATTTCTACACCACCACGGTCCTTGCCCTGAAGGAGTTCATCACTTTGTTGAGAAAACAAGTCAACAACATGTGGAAACTCAAACACAGCTCCACAGGGAGGAGTATGTGTGACACAGCACCACACTGGTGGCACCGGGGTGGCAGGAAGGGCATTTATTCCAATAATCCAGGCAGGAACAAGTTTGGGAATGGCAGTTCTAGTCAAACCCTGTGACTGACCCGACTTTGTCTTTGGTACATTTAATAAATGCTTCTAAGCCTCAGTTGCAAAATTTATAAACTCAGGGAAGGGGAAGAAGAGAAGGTTTAAATGAACTTAAAGGGTTTTTTAACTCTTTAGCTAGAATCCATGATTCTAGCTTTTTAGGAAGGTCACAGTATAAATAAAAGGCTCAAGCAGAAGCAAAAGCTGATGTGAAACCAGAGTAATGGAAAATGTGTGGTGGGGGCGGGGGTGAATACTGATTGCCACACTCTAAGCTTGAAAGGCTGACTGAATGATGGTCTAACTGATAGATACAGGAAGCGGAATGGGAAGCTAGTGTGAGGGCACGATTTTAAAGTACTGACGTTCACCAACAATAATCAGTACATTCTTTTCAGAGGAAATCATGGTGCTGCAGCCTCAAATTTTAAAATGAATTTTAGGTTTCCTCTCTTCCCCGTCCAGTATTATTCAATCTCAAAACCATTCAATGGATTCAAGCACAGTAGGGATCTGTGCTGAGGGGAGAGGGAAACAGAGGGCCTAGTGCAAGACACTGGGAACTGAGTAGGTTAAAGAAGGGTTTGCCATGGAAAAGCAAGCGGCAAACAGAGTCAAGCGCCCAAGTGAAATGTGCGTCTGTGTGGAGTAACTGCCCAAGAACAATGTCAGAGCCCAGGGGTGGTGAAGAAGGCTTCCAGGCAGGGCAGTGGTCCCAGAGAAGCAGGGAAGAAGAGTGTCCTTTTAAGAAAATGGTCTGAGTGAGGGATCAGAACTCAAGCAGGGGTAGGTTAGAAGGACGTCTGTCGGAGAACAGCCCGTGGGGTGAACATGCTATCTCTGTAGGGAAAGAAGAGGCTATAATGACAAGAGACTATATAAATAAGCTCATTGAATATGTACATAAAGCTCAATGTACTCTATTTAGCAAAACTACACAGTATTTAAAAGTTTGCAAACGGGCCCTAGTGGAAGACAATGGGTTCTTTGGTAGTGAGTGTTGTGTGGAAACATACATCTAAATCTTATACCCCTGAATCATATAGTATAATAAACCAAAGTTAACTCAGTAAAAAGTAATGCAATTTAAACCAAATACAAAGTAAATAAATGAAAATTTGCATACCTTATAAACTGACTCCAACTTTGCCCCAGGTAGACTGGGTGATGAATTTAAAATATCCTGTGTTCGGAGAGCCTTCTCTTCATTGCTTATCTAAAAGGAAACATAGTTGATACCTCTTAAAATAAAGTCTTCATTAAGTTTGATTAAAGTACTCTCCTGTTCTAATGAAGAGTCCACACTTTCATCAAAAATTTTAAAACTGAGGTATCTCTAATCATTCCTAATTGATTACTGAATCATTACTGTCATTAATGAAGCCAAAATAGAGGCTAAAACTTAAATTCAATATACTTTCAGACCTCCACTCTGGTCATTTCTGAGGATATAACACAAGAACTATAGCAGAAATACAAAAAGTATTACAATATGAAAGAAAAGGAATAAAAACTCAATTTAATATAGACTGAAAATGAACTGTATCCCCATTTAAGAGTTATTTGTTCTTTTGAGTAGTTTAATTATCACTCAATTTTCTAGCCACATAAAACTCCAAATTTATAATATTAATTTTTCTAGGAACTATGAATCTCTTATAACAGACTGGCATAACTTTAAAAGATATATCTAGCTACATAAAATTTTAATATTCTATAGAGAAAACTAAAAGATCTATAAATGGAGATGAAACATAATGACAAATATTTATGTCATTTAACATCTGAGTTAATCTCAATAAACCCTTAAATAGTAATCCAAAAGTAAAACATAGTCCCTGCAAATATTCATATAACAAAAGTAAATTAAAGTATAACACGATAATATTTCTATCTATTATAATGGCAAAAGTTAAAAAGATTTAGCATACACACAGTACTGGGGCAAAGCATAGCCAAAAACTTTAAAGCACACATGTAACTAAGAATTTCACTTCCAGAATTAATCTTAATCAAATAACAGAATACACAAATAGAAACAATTTTTCTTTCTCACAATGTCATTTATAGTAAGAAAAATACTTATATCCAGCAATGGGTATTTGGTTAAATGAATGGCAATAAAACTTGATGTTTCAGGAAAGCAGGCTATATTTTCTGGTCAACTGCTCACAGAAATCAAAGAAAAAATACTTACAAGATTTTTTTTTTTAAAGCATGGAAGATAAGGTAGGGAATCTATCAGGAGATGCAATCCTCCCATTCAACTGACAAGGGTCATTAGAAAAATCCCAAGCCTTGAACTTTTTTTTTTTTTTAATTTATTTATTTATACAAGCACTGGGTACAATCAAAAGTGCGGGAGGGTGAGAGAATTCACCAGAGCCAGAGCGGGGAGCAGAGCAGGTAGAAGGACCGAAGTACACTGCTGAGGGGAGCAGCGGGAGGCAGGAGAGGTCTAGGCGCCTTGTGGGACCCTTGCCCAGCAGCCGGGGATCGAACTGGTGCTGCAGAGGCTGCGGACAGCTTCGCAACCCAGTGCTCAACCGCTGCGCCACCTGGGAGGCCCTGAACTTCTTTTAAAGTGGTCCATGATTCAAATTTCCCAGAAACTGAGCAGAAGCAAACTCAAAGCCTCTCTGAAGAAAAGCCCGTTCACAACATGCCTTGAAGGTTTCCTATAAGCACATTCTCAAGCACAATGTCAAGTATATTGTATTTATATAGCAAGGCGCGTAATAAAACATTACTTTGTGAGCAAAAACAAGACTCAAAAAGTACACAGATAATAATTACATTAGTATTTGTAAGAAATAACAACCATAATAGCATCTGATGAATGGAAAACCAAAAATTTAGAAAGAAAAAGGGAGGGAAGGAAAAAAAATAGAGGCGGGGAAGAAGGAAGTGGAGGAAAGAGGCACTTCAAGAAAAAACAAAAATTTCAGGAACAGAAATTAAAAACTTAGTGGAATCATAAACACCACCTTAAATTTCAATAATTGTAGATTAGGTAATTCAGACAAACCCATCTACATCAGACGTCTCATAGGTTACTTAGGGATTATCAGGCCAATAGATTAAACCTATTATTTAAGCCTGATATTTAAAGTGCATTTATATATGTGCTAATCCTGAGAAAGTAGCATCAAAGAGGCTCTGTGAAGGTAGGTAAATGATCCCCTACTCTCTGGAAAACTAAGGGGGGGGTGAACCAGAAATTTATTCACCTTCATGTGGATCTACAACCCAGTTTCCACTTGTCTAATGGCCAGGCACTTCAGATTTTGTAATGAAATTAAAACTATCCTGGATTAGCAGTGCCACCTGGCCCAAGAAGAAAAAACAAACCATTCCAGAGGAAAGTTGCAATCCACCTACGCCTCAATATAGTTCTCCAAATAAATTTCCAAATGCAATCTCCAACACAGTCAAAGATAACAGAGTGAACAGTAAACAAGACTATGAATGAGAACCAGACATGTAAGACCAAAAAAAGCATAATCCTTTCAAAAAAGGATTGGGAAAAAGAAACAAATCTTATTTTTCACAGATAGATGAAAATACAGAAGAATCCACAGATAAATTATTAGACCAGTTGAACAAATTAAGCAAGGTCTAGATACAGGTTCAAATATAGAAAAACCAACTGTATTTCTATATGCCAGCAGTAAGTCCAATAATGGATTTTTTTAAGCTACCATTTATAACAGGATTAAAACTATCAGGTACATAGGAATAAATCTAACAAAATTTGCCCATAACCTCCCATAAACATGAACCAGAAGAGTTAATCTACGTGTGTGAGTTGATTCTAAAATGTTATGGACATCAAAGAGCCAAGAGAAAAACAGGGAAAAACAGCCTGATAAAAAATTGAGCAAAAGAACAGGCACTTTACAAATGAAAAAATTCAAAGGGTCAAAAAAAAAAAAAACAAAACATATATATATATATTCAACCTTAGTACAAATTAAAACTACAGTTAAAAAAAGCTTCACTGTTGGTGAGGGTGTTGAGAAATTGCAACTCTTACATTGTTGGTGGCAATATAAATGGTATACCCACACAGCACCTTATAAGCAACAGAAATCTAACCCTAAGGCCCAGCCATTCTCCTCCCAGGTATTCACCTCCCCCACTCCACTCCCCCCCCCACCCCCGCAAAAGAATGAGGCTATGTGACCACAAAAAGTCTTACATAATCCCATTTACATGAAGACCTAGAATACACAAAACTAATATGTTAGAAAAAGATTTGAAGAGTGATTGCCTCTTGGAGGGTGGGGACAGGTATTTACTGGGATGGAGCCTGAGAAAACTTTCAAGGGTGATAATAATGGTCTATATCTTGAGAGAAATTTGATTTGCACAATTTTTAATGCATTTGTCAAAACTCAAGAATGGTACCCTTAAGATTTGTGCATTTTCTTGCATGTAATTGTTACCTTAAATAAAAAAGCAAGTGTTTATTAGCAAACATTGAAATGAAGTAAATGCCATGCACACGCTATAAATTAGTGGGAAGTATACTGATTTCTATAACTTACTCTGAAATGAACTGCTGAGAGATAGAGAAATGGATAATATATAATAAAATAGTAGAGTAAGAAATAAGTAAACTGTACAATCTAAGTGATGAGTATATAAGGATACACTAAGATTATTGCAGCTTTTTGTATGTTTGAAAGTGTTCACATCATAATTTTGAGACAAAATTATTATTTTACAAATGAAGATAATACTATCCACCCAATGGGACACCTAAAACTCATCTGGCCATACAGATGAAAACACAAAATAACAAGGACTCTCATAGCCTACTGATAGGAATGTAAATTGGTAGAACTATGAACAGTTTAGAAAGTTTGCATTAGTTCATAAATTGAAGGTAAATATACCCTCTAACCTCACAATTTTACCCCCAAACATGTACACTAGAGAAAAGCACACTTTTTCTACAAAAGGCCAAACAGTTACTATAGATATTCATGTGCTGCTCCCTAGTCGGTCTCTGGTGAATCCTCTCACCCCTGCATCTCTAGCCTATGCATAAATAAATAAATCTTAAAAAAAAAAAAAAAAACCACTTTTGGACTATGAAATGTAATTTCATATAATTTTCCTGTGTCAAGAAATGTAACTTTTTTCAACTATTAAAAAATGTAAAAACCAACCTTAGTTCACAGGCTATGCAAAAACAAGCAGCAGCCAGAATTTGGCTACATGTAAATTTTCACTAGTGCAATAGAACTTCAAATGCCCCACTCATGAGAATCTCCTGTCAACACAATGTACTGGGATCCTTCCCTAAAGTTTCTGATTTAGAGGGTCTGGAATGAATCCCAAGAATTGGCATTTCTAACAAAATCCAAGAGATGGGAATGTTCTCAGTTCTCAGATCAATGCCCTAAAGAAATACTTATAAGGAAACCTAAACAAGCACTACATGTAGGACCATAGAGTAACATTATGCATAACAACCAAAAAGTGGAAATCCAAACATGCAGCAAAAGTCAGCTAAAGAAGTAAGTGTGGGGCCTCCCTGGTGGCACAAGGGGTTAAGCACCACACTATGAAGCAATCCACAGCCTCTGCAGCTTGAGTTCCATCCCTCACCAGCCAGGGAGCAACCCACATGGTGCAGCAGACCTCTCCTGGTTCGCCCGCTGCTCCTCTCAGCAGTGTACTTCAGTATATCTGCCTGTTCTGTTCCCCATTCTGTCTCTGGTGAATCCTCTCACCCCCTGCATCTCTGGCCTGTACCCCAACTCTTGCATGCATGAATAGAATTTATCTTTAAAAATAGATAAATAAATAAGAAATAAGTGTGGTACACGTACAGTATAGAATATTGCTAAGCAACAACAAAATATTACAGTTCCATAGACTGCATAATCTTAAAAGTACAGCAAGCAATATAACCCAGGCACAAAACACACATGATTACTCCATTTATATAAAAGTTTGTTTCAACAATGAAAATTATATTGTTTAGGGCAACACAGTATGAATTCTATTTGAAGTGAATACTCATATGATCAGCCAAGGCAAAAAAGATGAGACTAAGTGATTTTTCTCTAGGAAAGAGAGGAAAGTTTGGTTGAAAAGAGCACAGAAGTTTCAAGAGTAAGAGTAATGCTTTACTCCTCATCAGGATGACAAACTAGTATTCCCTCAACAATAATCTACTAAACTGTATTTTTTTTAAGATAG